TCTTTCATCTTTATACAATTTTTGACCAAGATCAAAGACTATTTGGTGTTACCTATTAATCTCATCTTTGGTATAATATATTTTGCTAATATAACACTAGAGAATTATATGATGTATTTTTATTAATAAAAAATTATAATAAAAATAATAAAATTAAAATTTGTATACATATTATTACAATTACTCACCAAGGCCGACCAGTGGTTCTAGAGCATTACAATGGAGCAACTCCATTTGGGTGCTTTCAATGGGACCCACCTGTACACATCACTCGTTTATATTTTTTCCATACAAGTACTTACAAACACTTCATCTCTACAATGGAGCAACTATTGTGTGCTTCCAATAGGTCTCACCAAAAAGTTTATATCATTATATTTTATTATGAACTTGTTTATTAATTTATAAAATAATTAATTTTAAAAAATAACCAATTTTTCTATTTTATCATTATTTAAATAATTTTTTAGCACAATAAAAAAGTAGTAAAATTATTAATAACTACTTTTGTTAAACCATGGATTTTGGAAATTTGAATTTGTAGGTTGTTGATAATTTGGTATCAAATTAAATTATGGATTTTGGTTTGAATCCATAGAATGAAAAGAAGAAGTTGAGAATTTTTTGAGAGTTATAGAGAAAAATTTGAGATATTTAGTTGTGCAATTTTTCTTTTGAAAAATCCTTATTTATATAAAAATAAAAAAAATTAACTGTTGCATTTGCAATTGTAAAAATATTTTTTTTTTTAATATTTGTTAGTTGATTTGCACGTTGCTAGCTAAAGTAACCTTTGTTCAGGAAGCATTCCAATTCAATTACTTTTAATGACCACGGACTAAGAAACAATGTTGCTGGAAGAGTTGTTATGTGAACTACGTACTGTTATAAATGCTCTTTATGCATTCCATATTTCCATGTCAGTATAGAGTAATGTGTTAAATCCTAACTTTTAATACTTTTTCCAAATTTCAAATGCTATTTATGAGTGCCATTAAGAATTTGCAATGGAAGCAAAATCACACATTTTCTAATTAAAAGGACTTTAAGTATAACTAAGTATAATATATTAGTTTCAACCCTTTGTTTACTTTTTGATAATTAAAAAACAAATTGAATTAAGTCCTTAAACTAAAAAGAAAAATGTATTTTTTTTACATATTTTTGTAATTTAGCTTTTGAGTTAGAAGTGCATTTACAATACATAAAATGAAAAAAATAAATATAATCATCATACATGGACAAATATATCATATTATTATTCCATATCATAATCCATATACATTAAGTTTTAATCCATACTTATAGAATGTTATGCAATCTTTCTAATCATAAAATTTTTGGAATAATATAAAATTTGAACGAGTAGAAATTAGAACATAATAAATATGGATAATGACACGAAATAATAATATAATGTATTCATCCAAATATGAGAATATAATATATAAAAAATTATATATCAAAATTTACATATTGTAAGTGAAGTTCTAACTCCAAAGATTAAATTACAAATATTTTATAAAATAAAACTCAATTATAATTTTTTTTAGTTTAAAGACTTCATTAATTTTTTTTTCGAAAAAGTTTAAGTATCAAATCAAATGTATATTTCATTTAAATGATTTTATGAAGAAAGAAAGAAAAATGATCTACATGCACAAAATAGAGGGGGAGAGTTAATTTATGCCTTTAAATTTTCAAAATATTACATATTATACTTTGGTTAATAAAATTATGAATTTAATTAAAGATCATTAATAAGTATCTTGTAGTCACATTTTTAGATAAATAAATTAGGTTGTAGATACATTTGTTAAGTATGAGAGTTTATGATGAAAGGACTGTATTTATTTTAGAACTCCTTTCCTTTAATTTAAATTTCTTTACTTGTAAACTTTACGAGTGTAAATTAGTTTTTAGTTATCAATTTTGAGATATTGTGTTGATTATGTTATAGACTAAAAAAATTTTTTTTACTTACTAATTCTTAAGTTGTATTTTTTTCATGACTTTTTAGCTTGGATTTTTAGCCCTTAAGTATCAATTTTTTTTTCTTCAAAATACTATATCTTTTATTTGATTTCTCATATTTGAAAATTTATTATCCAGTAATTTAAAATATCATATATATATATATATATATATGCATGAAAAACTTCCATTAGATTTTCATTCATTTTGTGATTCTAGAAAATGGAGAGCCAAACCGAGAAATTGGTCTTTAAAGGGAATAAAATAAGACGATTGTGATATTTAGACAAACTAAAACATATATGAAAAAAATAACACAACAGACAAAATTAATAAATGGAAATCATACAAAAATATAAAAACATAATAAGAAAATTAAATTACAACTTTATGAAAAAATATATATTCATATTATTATTGTAAAATATCTATTATTTTATGATTAATTTTTGTCATACAATTTGGATGTGACCAATTTTCGTGGTATCTATACTGCCAAACATTTTTTTTATTCCAATACTCAAACTTGAAGCTTCACTTGAAAAAATGTGAAAAATAAAATTTACAAAAAAGTATATTAATTATTTTTTATTTTAAAAAGTAAGATTTTAAGTTTTTATTTATTAATATATTTCCTAGATAGCTAAATGAATAAATTATTAATTAAATAAGTATTTACTTGAAAATAGATGTTTTTTTTTATTTTACAAGTTTTTTAATAATTATACATCAAATAACAAATAAGATAATTAAAAATTATAAAATGATAAAAAAAATTAAAGTGAGGACGTACTTTTAAGGAAAAAAAATTCACATTAAATTTTACCTATTTAATTGATTTTATTCATTTGACTTTCTAATTTATGTATAATAAAATTACATTATAATCTTTTAGAATTCTATGAAATTACGTTAATATTGTAATAACTCATCATGATTCCTATACTTAATAGTTCCTACTCGTAACGAAGTAAAATATCTATCTACATAGGATTAATATATATACAATATCTAGATATATATATGCAATAATATGTGCGTAAAAATTTAAACAACAACTAAATGTATATGATACTACACAAGTATATAAATTATGTACAATAATTAAACCATATACTAACCCTAAGTTGTTGGACAATCAACTCTATCAAAAATAACTACATAAGAGTAGCCAACAAAGTATCTACACCACCATTTGATAGCATGGTCTCAAAAGGCCAATTCCTCTTATCTATTCTTGCCCTACTCTCACGTAAATATGATCATTGTTGTCCAACTACTAGAAAAAAATGTAAGGATAAGTTAGAATATGTATAAAAAATCATATAATGAGTATAAAAGTAAAAAAAAAAAAAATCTATATTAACAACAACATGAACATGTAAACCATACAACAAATCACAGTATGATCTACAACTCAACACCACAACCAATCACTTCAGCATGACATCTAACACCTTATAAGAGTAAGCAATTTAACAATGTATGACAAATCATATTTCACCACACCAATGACATCCAACCATGTAATCAGCAAAATATGAACAACAACAAATCAATATGCATATGCATTAACTAATGTGTTATCACGCGTTCACCTACAAAAATCTCTTATAACAAGGTGAGTAGTCTAAGTGATTTAATACTATCGAACTAACACTATCTTTTTACATCTGCTAGGTCAACAATCAAATTAGGATACCAATCTTAACTACATGATTTTTCAGATGTCACTAGTTAAATTAGAAGGTCTAATATTCCTGTTAGGGCATAATAACTTGGATATAAGCCTACCACAACATTAACTTGAAACACTAAGCCCCACATGAAATTAGTCCATCGACTACCCTCCAAATACTACGCCCTTTCGGTACTCTGTCAGGGACTAAGTCCCAACCTTGTATTTTACTCAATTGGTTACTTTATACTCGTATGTCTAGACCTTGCCTACATACGAATCAACAAATGATCACTTGTAATTAGTATAGCTCGACCTGACCCCTATACTATGGTCACTTATAGTCTTATGTCTCAACTTGATCTACGTACCACATCAACTAGAGTCTTGGAAGAGACTCATCCATCCACTCCAAGAGATAACATCAATGTCTTCACAATAGATATCTAACTTTTGAAAACAACATTTTCTCTAATCTTTAGTCAATCAATATGCTTAAATATTTATAGCATTCTCAACATCACATCTCAACAGTATATCAACACAACATGCCATCATACCTCAATAGTGTATCAACACAACATGCCACCACACCTCAACAATATTCATCTATATGCTAATATGCATTATCTCAAATCAATGGGTATAGATCTAACAATAGTAATCAATTTAAAACATACAAATGCACCTCAGCAGTTCAATCATATAATCATCTACATATATTATCAAACATCAATATACATAGATCTAAACCACATCTAGCAATATGCATGCAATGGATTCATCTAACCTATCCACGTTCACAATTAATTATGTAACTAACAAATTATTATAGAGCAACCTACGCCTGATACAATCCAACATTAAATGGCACATGCAAATTTCTCCACATATAATATTTTCTCCACCTAAAAACTTCTCAATTTTTTTTAACTCCTAGTATTTCTCCACATATAATAATAATTAATAAAAATTTACAGCGATATAAACATTCTTTACTTTTCCAATATTTATGGTAACTTTTATTTTTATTTTTATTTATAAAAGTCATGTTATAAAATTTTTCAAATAATTAAGAAAGATTAATATAACATTTAAAAGTTATTAATGTAAAAGTCACATCTTACGAACATATATTAGTCTGGTAAGTTTTGAAATATTTTTTAGATGATGTCCACCATAAAAAAAATATTTTTATATTTTTATAAAATTTGAGGTATTTCCCACCCAAGGAAGATGTGATACTGCAGAATGAGTCTTCAACAGAACTTTATGTGTTGGTTTCAGGGGCAGTGGTGAGTTAGCTAACCCATGAACGATCTAGTAACCCATAAATAAATCTAGAAGAATGTATGCTGACAAAAAACAATCCTTTTCAAATGATTTCTTGTTGCAGAATCTGGTTCGCCGCATCGATGGGCATGATCATGTAAAAATATTCACCCATGACATTGTATTTATCTTCAGATTACACGGCGAAATAACTGAATGTAACTTTCTATCTCCACATTAACAATTCAGGTTCAGGGGAAGGCAGTCTGGATTGGTGCAGTGTATCCAAATTTCAAAGAAGAAAGTCTATGGGACAGATATGTCACTGCAATATACTGGTCCATTGTGACTCTTACTACCACTGGCTATGGGGACTTACACGCTGAGAACACGAGAGAGATGCTGTTTGATATAGCTTACATGCTGTTCAACTTGGGTTTAACATCATACATCATTGGAAACATGACTAACCTTGTAGTGCACTGGACCAGCCGTACCAGAAATTTTGTATGTACTGTCAAACTTGAGCTTTTTCTATTCTGCTACTGCTCAATTTATCAGTGCCAATTATTATACATGCGTTAGACTAAACTAAACTCTGTTTCTCATTTAATAATACCCTTCAAAGTCACTATCTAGGACAATGTTCAAAAAGCTAGTTTTAAATATTCTGTAGGCCCCAGATTTTGGTATTATATTTGAACAGAAAATCTAGCATAATTTTCTTGTGAGTTTCATGTTATGTTGCACTTTAGTTTCATTTTCGGCTATAGCTAATTATTTCCTTTCGTATAAAAAGAAAAAAAAAAACTTGTTCAGATAAGAGGAATTTTATTTCTTCCCTCTAATGAAGAGAGGATTGGTTTTGGTGCCACAGAGAGACACAGTCAAAGCAGCTTCTGAATTTGCTTCAAGAAATCACTTGCCCCATCGCATACAGGATCAAATGTTGTCACATATATGTTTGAGGTTTAAAACAGAAGGACTAAAGCAGCAAGAAACATTAAATGATCTTCCAAAGGCAATTCGTTCAAGCATAGCACACCATCTGTTTTTTCCTTTCGTGCAAAAGGTCTACCTCTTCCAAGGAGTCTCTCATGATTTCCTTTTCCAGATGGTAATACTAATACCCCACATGCCTTGTTTGTTTTTATTATCGCAACACTTTTTGTCTTTATTTTCATCCATTTTCCCTTTTGTTTTCTTCTTCTTTGGTTAAGCTAAGAGTGAGAAGAAAAAGATCTAATGTCAAAACATGTCAATATCTGACCCAGGTAACTCTGTAATAATAGGTTTCAGTTATGGTAGCCGAGTATTTCCCACCCAAGGAAGATGTGATACTGCAGAATGAGTCTTCAACAGAACTTTATGTGTGGTTTCAGGGGCAGTGGTGAGTTAGCTAACCCATGAACGATCTAGTAACCCATAAATAAATCTAGAAGAATGTATGCTGACAAAAAACAACCCTTTTCAAATAATTTCTTGTTGCAGAGATGCCATCAACTTAACATCCAAGCACCAAAAGTCAAGGAAATTACCAACATTTCAGTTTCTCATCAAGAAAACCAAAACTCCTATTCTCAACATACAATCTCCTTGGATTCAATTGCTACAACTATAGATTTCGGAAACTCCATCAACCATAGACTCTTAATACCTTTGATAGATCAATATCTCAACCAAATCCAAGGTTCCAATAGTTTCTAGTTGATTAGCTCAATACTTCATCCACTACTACTTGCACATATGCTTGCAACACAAGCGATACCTGATGAGTCATTATTTTCCCCTATTTTCTTACGTATTAATGTTGGGGTAGAGGGTGTCACAGAGACGATGTAAAAAATAATAATTAATAAAATTATTATAAAAGTATAAAAAATAAGAAATGGTTATATAATTTTAGAAAACTTTTGGAACCACATTTTAATTTATATTTTTAAAAGAATAATACGACATCTTTTATACTTAACAAATGTCAAACGTCGCTGATAAAAATACATTTTTTTTTCATCTTTTATTGATGAGTTAAATGTAAATGTATTTAAAAATTATAATAAGGTTTACAATGAGAGAAAAGATAAAGAGAAAAAAAAATATTGTGCACGATTCAAGATGTGCACTCATAACTTAGGTATCACAATTTAACTATTGAAACTGAATTGATTTTTGTTTTATTTAATTTATTCTAAAAATATAAAAGGGTGCACTATATGGTTCATTAGTTTGACGCAATTAACGTAGATTACACCGTATTGGAAATAACGAAATATATTAACACCCATTAGTGCATGTTTGATTTTTAACTCTAACGTGAATTTTCACGTTTGTTTGAAGCAAATTCTTTTTACTTCTACGTAAAATTGATATCTAACGTGGAGAGAATGTAAAATCATGTTTCAAAAGCTAATCTAAACATGCACTTAATTCACACACGTTGGATTCAGTGGTGCGTTACCACTAATGAGTTACCATAACAAAAAACATTATTGTCTATAATAAATAATAATTTTTTATAATTATTATTAGATTTGAAAATATTTTTTATCTCTATTAAAAATAAAATAAAAATGAGATTAAATAATAAAAATATATTAATTTAATTAATATTATAATTTATTATCAAATTTTATGATTTTAAATTTAATAAAAATATTACTATTTTAATAATTAAAATATTTAATAATTTATTAAATGCAGAAAACAAGATAATTATTAAAAGAATTCTTTTTATATATTTAGTAATTGGATTAAAGTATTATCTAATTTGTTAATAATTAGTTTAATTTAATTGTATTTTTGATCCTTCAAATTTTGTAATTGTGTAATTTAATTTCCAATATTTTAATTGAGTAATTTTAGTCCCTAAAGAATTGTAATTGTGCGATTTTAGTCTCTCCTATTAAAAATGTAATAATTTTAGTATATATATGACATGACCATGTGAAATATGGAC